AAAGATGATATATATACTAACGTTGGAAGTTGGGTCGAAACCAGTTTCTTCAACCGATTCACGACACTTCGCGTCAAGATAACTGTGGCTCGGAGTTTATCAGTTGGCCCAGAAAGGCTTTGTGGTTGATACTCTTCGTTAAATGTTTCGACCTTTGCGTTTTTCAGATAACTTTCATCTAGTTTCGGGTACTTGACAAGTCGATCATAAACGGGTAAAGTCCCATTAGTTAAAAACAACTTATCTGTTCCTGATTGAGCTATGAAAGTCCACGCCTTCAAGAAACAAAACCGGGTGCTAGCATCACCCAGGCTATGGTGATTCGTCATTCCAATAGAGAATCCGTTGTTGGGAAAAAGTGTAACTTGAACTGAGAAGACTGGGATTGTTATGAAATCGGAGACTTTAGTAGTCTGTTTGAGAAGAGGTATAAGATGATAAAACTTGTCACACTCTCGTGGATGGTTTCCTGTAAGATCGTTGAAATCAAGGTTGCATTCAGCAATCGTAACCTTGACTGAATCACCTTCAATATATCGAATTTCTGGTTTTTGATCAGGAGAAGGAAATATGATCAAGTTACCAGCGAAAGGATAAAAATGTTGAAGGGTGATCGATAACGAGTTTTTCAGATTAGGAACGATGGTTTCTGTGAACTCGGTTTTAGTGATTGGAAGCTCGTAGAAGAAGAGAGTGTTAATTGGAGGTAAGGTTAGCCATGAGAAGTCGAAGAAAGTCAGTGGCAACGACCTGTCACACACGGTGGCCGGTGGTGGCGATACTTGGGACTCTTCAAGAATACTCATGGTTGGAAGGGAACCCATTTTCAATCAATTCCCTCTGATGGTTGAGTATCCCAAAGCTAGTGGAGTTATATAGGGATAAGGAGATGATAACAAAATAGTGCATATCTGTTTTTATTAGGGAATGCACCTAGTAATTATCTTTTGCTTTTGTTTTTGTTAATAGATATATCATGTTATGGTTGTATTTTTAGTGTTAAGCTTTTGTTAGATTCTAAAGCCGGTTTAAGATTATGGGAACCCCGGATATAACACGTATGTGTAGGTCATATAAAAATATCATTAAATTGCAATCTTCCAAATATGACAAAATATTATTTTAATGCACAAAAAGGAAACAAATGAAATAAATAAAATGATAAACAATTATATATCTGATTACATTTCTAAATGTGAGGAGACAATTTGTATTGAAACAGTTATGAAAATTCAATTCTCTCGTTTGACATATTTCTAGAATAGTCGCACAACGATAGAAGAAAATATCTTATTTGAAAGATTAAACAAATTTCAAATAGAATATTATATTTTAAAATTTAGTTCAAATAATCATGTACATTTTTGTCAGAAAAATCTACCAAAAAATGTAGTATTCAACAAATAAATGCTGGACCTTTAGGTGGGACTTGGGAGGTGCCCACTCATATTGAGCTTCGTGGTTTTTATATTAAAAAGTCTTGCAGCATCGACATAGTTAGACAAATGGTATTTTTTTAAAAGCTTTTTATCATTCTAATAAGTTTTTTTTTCTTTTGTTTTTAAATTATTACTAAAAGATAAGTTTTTTTCTTAAATACAGGTCCGTTTGGACGACATGGGCGACCGTCCGGGATCCATCTTTTAAAGGGGACCAAAATTTGTTTGGACT